ACACACACACACACACACACACATGTAACTAAACCACGCATTCACAAGCATATCCATCCATAAACATGTTCTGCAGACACACGCTAACACCGACACACGCACTGGGTCGTGAACACAAACACATAAACACAGACACCAAGCTCTTACACTTCAGCAGAGCCTCGCATTGGCCTCCAGGGTATGTTCCAGCAAATCAACTAGTCCTTGTGGCTCTGGTGAGTGAAAGGGGGGGTGGCAATGAGAGAGAGAGAGAGAGAGAGAGAGAGAGAGAGAGAGAGAGAGAGAGAGAGAGAGAGAGAGAGAGAAGAACGCTCGACTGTACCATTAAGACAAGGCAAAGCCCACCTTTGTCTTACTGTAGGTCCGTGTCAACAGGAACAATTGGTCTCTGCAGACTGAATCATTATTCTGTTTGTATAATGAACGCTCTTAGGTCCGTATCCCATGACAAGCGAACACTTGCGTTTCACACATAATGGCACATTTGGATTATAGTCATGGGGTCCTCGTGCCCTTTGGTCAATACATAAACAATGCATGACACAATCAGCTTCTCCAGTCATGGCTCAGTCAAGTCTTCGTTTCGTAATTATGACTAGTAAGATCTGTGTTTTCTAATCACATTATACTCAACTTGTATCGATAATTATTAATGAACATCATGTTCCGCCTCACTGTACACTCAAGTCGGTGAAGTGCCCTTATACTTCCTCAGTCTAGTATTGGTGTTAATACCTGCTGACACTGGTATGATCTCTTGTGAACTATTGTGTTTCTTTAAGCTGTTTTGTTTTATTCTTCTTTTGAACATTTGTGTGTTTGTCTCAGCACTTGAATTTCTCCACCTTTGTTCGCTTAGTATTTTAGATTTGTTCTGTAAATCAACTAACTATTCCTTTGTTCTATTCCCATTTTATATTCATGATGTATTGTTTGTTTCATTTCATAAATACAGCACACACACATTATATGCCTTGAACTGTGTTACATTAGGTTCTGTTCTGAGGCTGGAATAAGTGGTGCTCCGAAACGATAGTTCATTAAAACACTCAAGGGTGTATGTGTGTGTGTGTGTGTGTGTGTGTGTGTGTGTGTGTGTGTGTGTGTGTGTGTGTGTGTGTGTGTGTGTGTGTGTGTGTGTGTGTGATGCAGGAGAGTTTACATAATGTTTCTTGTCTATATGGACGTCTTTTCACTCTGTGTTGCTCATTAGTCAAGATTAATTTGAGTTATAACAATATTTTAGTTTTCAAAAATGTTCACATATTTGCAGGTTGTTGGAATTTTTGATACGTGTAGTGCCTTCATTTTTGTTATATTTTTATATGTTAAAACAAGATTATGTTTATCTTTCATTTTAAACTTAAAGAAATAGTTATTTTAGCCAACAGAATAAAACTAATTGTAAACATTACGATATGAATTCAATACAAGGTAAATAGAACGAGGCTTCATACAAGTGGCAGTTGCGTCAAAAGGCGTTTCGATTAGGTTTCCCGGAAAACCTTTTAAAACGAATTTGGTCTTGTATGTGTTTCCTTTAACTTGTACTCACGCTGTCCACTTGTTCAGAGTCGGAATGAGCTGACCAGAATGTGTTTAAGATGGAGGAACGTTGTTGATAGAGACAGGTAGAGCGCTCGTCCAGGTGTGAATGGGAAAACCAGTGTCGATGAACGTGACAGAGACGAATCCAAGAAACAGATCCAAGTGTTAGGAATGGTCGAGGGAAGATTTATCTTCCCCCCTCCCCCCAAAAAAAAAATCAGTCAGAATATTTTTCTGTTAAGTTCTGAAGTAACTTAATTATTAAAACTTTAGAGCGTTATCTCTTCTCAAGGGGACCATCATTATATAACACCACATTGTTTAAATTAACTCATGTGCGTCATCATATTCCTCGTGCTAAAAGTATTGTCAAATATCTATACTTTCTCTCTCTCCACTTTATAGAATAATCAAGGATCATACAAGCGCTGATCAAAGCTTCGTCACGTCCTTCAGAATCAATATGCAAATGTATTTATTGAAAGTGATAAGGGATCCCAGCGGCATCACCTACCGTTAGGGGCAGTGTGGATGCAGCACACTGTACACTATGCCCTCAGTATACAAAGAAGCATCGCGGCCAGCCCTGTGCTCGACTGCTTTCACTTTCCCAACCGTAAAGTTCGCTACTTATTTGCAGTTGGGTGGACTGGGAGTGCCCCGGTATCGAACCAGCGAACCTTAGGACAGGAGACGAGCGTTGCAGCCACTCGGCCGCTGCGCCCCACATACAGTATATCCAGTATATTACATTGCGTTATACCTTATATTTCCTCTTGGTTTTATTCATTTTCTTTACTGTCCCGTCTTCCTATGTTTCAGCCTTTGTTATAACCAAAAGCTCGGTATATTGTGCTCCACACACATCCTGACAAGATTCTGTATCCAATTTTCTGGCAGTAACGAAAGATTCAAGAAATATTCTGAAACCTTTCCTCCCCCTCTTAGTTTTGGGATATATAGATGATGTTTTCTTTTTCTTTATAGCACGGCGGCAGTTTCCTTTACATTATGTTTCTAAAAGTTGGCAAATTTTGGTAGTTACCTACACACACACACACACTCACCCAAACACATACACACATATGCAACTTCACATTCAAGTACACTTACGTACAAACATATGCACACATGCACAGGTGTGTGTAAATATATATACACAGTATATTCAACACCATAAATACACACAGACAGACAGACGCTCACACGGTGGTTCAAAAATTGGTAAAATGCTCAAGGGCGGATGAGGGTGGTGAGAGAACAATAGACGAGCCTAGATAGTGACAGTAGAGGCCTGACGCAGAGTATGAATATTTCACCTATATATTTAAGTCATGCGTATTGTTAGAGGGTAATAGTGGGTGGTTCTGGCTCAAGTGAGAATATTAGGATCATCTGTTTATAATTCATCCTCCTGACGCCACATAAATATTATTGGTCATAATTCATGGAAGCTTCCCCCCCCCCAGACAGTTTCCAAAGAATATTTCTTTTCTTTCTTATTGCGTCGAAAGATTTCCAATAGTGTGCACATAAATTTTGTTTCTATTTTGGCCCGGGAGTGAGATTTAAATATCCTAAGGCATTACTGCGCTTCTCGGATTCCAAAATGAAGAGGATGTTGTTATTCTTGTTTTTTTCCTCTCTCTCTCTCTCTCTCTCTCTCTCTCTCTCTCTCTCTCTCTCTCTCTCTCTCTCTCTCTCTCTCTCTCTCTCTCATTGTGTCGGAAGGCGATTGAACCCGCATAATAATCGTTAACTAAAAATATATAATTACTGGGCAAATATTTTAAGGACATTACGGAACCTCGCACACACACACACACACACACCTGGAAATGCTGATCGATTATCTTGAGTGGTTTTATAGTTTTAATATTTAGTAATTTGCATAATGTTGTTTACCACAGCCAGTTTCAGCAGATTTATCAGGAGCGTGTGTGTGTGTGTGTGTGTGTGTGTGTGTGTGTGTGTGTGTGTGTGTGTGTGTGTGTGTGTGTGTGTGTGTGTGTGTGTGTGTGTGTGTGAGGCCAGCAACCGAGAATATCCTATCTGGCTGATATATTACCTGCGTCTTTCATTGTCACCTGTACCCGAGAATTAGGTACACGCTCCATCTCGACTTCTCTCTCTCTACCTTAAGCTGGTATTTGAATCTCTCTCGTGTCACCATCAGATACTAGTAATCAGTTGGGTACACTATCCTATTTGCTGCGTTAATGAGCGTCATCTCTTATACCTTATCAGTGAATTAGGAAGGTTATCAAATCGAGACAATGAGTAAACAATATGCACAATAGGGTGTTATAGTCTTGTAATGAAGCTCAGTGTTTTTTTATGTCTAATTGAGAGCTTTCTGGAATTAGTAATATAATGAATGAGGTGATATGGAGACTTGACTTTTTTGTATAGAAATTGATTAATTCTGAATAAAACACAGATGATCAAAATTTCTAAGTGATGATGTGAGAAATTATTATGTGGTCATTACCCTTGTTAACTGTGGGCAGCTTCACCGCCTTCATGTGAGCGACATTTGCAGTTATTCTTGCTGACACTGTCTGTCTAAATCAGCAAACACAGAGACACGGGCGAGTTTACTGAGCGTCAAGCAACAAGTAGGAAGGGAACAAGCCACTGACAATCTATCCTTAATATTACACACCAGATATCGTTGGTTGTAGTTCTCTCTTAACGTCATGAGAGGTTGTGGGTTGTGGCAATAAATAAGAATAGATTTTGATGTTATAAGCCATCTCTACGCTTCAATAATTAAGGTCTTTAAGGTGCGTTCATTAGTAATTAAACAAGTTACTAAGACATTCAAGAAAATAAACAAACAGAAAACTATATAATGGAAGAGTTTATATATTTACGTATTTCCATAATATATCTAAACAGAATAAATAGTTTTTATTCTCAACAGCTGACTCAAGTAGGAGAGTTTCCTCTTGAGGTACACTGTCAATAGACTCACCAATAACACAGTCATCACCCACACGCTTTTCTGATCTATTCCTGGCTCTCTGTATGTTGGCTTGAGGTCTCGTTCCTATGAAATCCTTCTTTATGGATAACAAAGTCACCTGAATTTTTATTTGTGATGTCGGATAGCTTGATGTTGTTGGTAGAAACACTTGGCTGAGGAGTTTATTTGATCTGTTCCTAGAAAAATTTGCAATTAGTTCTGAGATTGGTTGGTCAAAGGGTGCATCGTATGTGAATGGAAATCTAGTCAATGAAGAGGAGTTCCACGGAGCAGATATTCGAGTCATGGGTGAAGCGTAGTGTATACATAGGCTCTTCATTATAGAGTGTGTACATTAAAGACACGTGAACACCTATAGGTCTTGGTAATAGATATTGAGCAAGTGTAAAGGCGTAGAGTTACAGTGAAAAGGTCACCAGTATTAACGTCCAGGGAATCTGTAGTAACATACACTGGTACTCACGTGTAGATGGGTGTGCCAGAGTCGCTGCTGTAGAACATAATGAGGACTGGATGGTCGTCCTCCAGGTTGGTGGACACGTCACAGGGGAGCAGCGCCTTCCCCTCCATCACCGCCGTCACGTTAATCAAGGGACCTGGAAAAAACAGAAAACATCCTCGTCAAATTTAAAAGTCTGTGTTTACTGATGTCCATATTTTTTTACCACTGAGGAACAGTGAGTGAGGTGGCCATTATTATGTAAACCAAGTAGCGCATTAATCTTTTTTTTTCCTTCACATCAATGACATCAAAAACAGCAGAGCTTAAAGAGAGTTGTGTTATATTTCTCCATTTAAGATTCATCTTATTACTCTGGAAAATAATGCATAGAATTAGTCTTACTTTTCGTCATTATTATCATCATTTACTTAATAAGCTTATAGTTGTTCATCATTTCGTACGATGTAATTCCTCTTTGATGTAACTTGAACTAAATATAAAACCTTTCCGTCTGCCACAGTTACCATAACTCCCGGAGGAGAAAGACCTGTCGTTCTTCAGTGTTATTTACCTTGAGTGAGGTAGTTTTTAACATCTTAATTTGGCAGTATTTATCTTTGGTAGTCTGGAGCCACTCACCACACGGCAGCTTCTCACGCCTCCCGCCTCCCTTCGAGTCTGTGTTGCTTAGTTGTCTGTTGAAGTTGTGGGGAAGAGGACTTTTAAGTTAACGTGTGCGTGTGTGTGTGTGTGTGTGTGTGTGTGTGTGTGTGTGTGTGTGTGTGTGTGTGTGTGTGTGTGTGTGTGTGTGTGTGTGTGTGTGTGTGTGTGTGTGTGTGTGTGTGTGTGTGTGTGTGTGTGTGTGTGCGCGCGCTCACCAATGTACTCCTGTATATCAACCAAGGTACAACGTAAATTTAGCATGATTAAAACACACACCCTTAACCAATTCTCACACAAACAAATAACAGAGAATAAACTAGAAAACTCTTATAATGGAACAATCTATCTCCCCAAAAACACAATTTAGGTCACAGGTTAAACTCATAATACTAAATTCTTGGTGTCAAATTTAGCCGCGTGTCACCATTATTTAATATCCGATATCGGCAAATTCCCCATTAGTTTCTCTCAGGCTAATATAACAAGGCTTAAGAGGAAAGCCTTGAATAATAGTTTTACTCGACCACCCTCGCTAAAATATGGCTAATATATATTAAACCTATTGAAGAGGTTTCCAATAAGTGCCACGAGCTATCTTAGTAAGTATTTTACCCCTATACAGATCCAATATATGTGTGTGTGTGTGTGTGTGTGTGTGTGTGTGTGTGTGTGTGTGTGTGTGTGTGTGTGTGTGTGTGTGTGTGTGTGTGTGTGTGTGTGTGTGTGTGTGTGTGTGTGTGTGTGTGTGTGTGTATTTTCATTAATGTATAAACAGCAGGTTTTCCTTACATGTCTTTCAATAACACGTAAACACAAACCCATCGGTAAAAGCATCTTATTACGCCAACCATTGAGTTAACTTACCGTTCCCATCGTAATACTGCTCACTTGTCATCTTACCTTTTAAGGAAATTCATCCTATTGGCAGACTATACTTAGCAGGTCACGTTCGGTTAAGAGTCACTTCCAAAGGTGACCGAGAAGCTTGTATACCTATTCGGTATTTCATGAAAAGTTTCAGAAGCTTAATTGCAGTTGGATACTAGAATAAAGTGGTCGTAAGTAAGGTAGTCATTAGAGAAGGGTGGTCGCTTGAGTGAGGTAGTCGTTAGTCTGGTGGTCGTTAGTCTGGTGGTCGTAAGTAAAGTGGTCGTAAGTAAAGTGGTCTCTGGATAAAGGTAGTCACTCTCAGTATCGAAAAACTTAGTTAAAGATTCGCCTCTAAGAAGGTCAACAGTGGGCGTATTGCAGGTAAGTCGAAATGTCAATTGAGGAAACAAGTGAACGGTAATATCCTGAGGACGAGCACGACAACTTGTTATCAGTATGAGGTTTTGTCTGGTGAAGTCAGGTAAGTGTGTTAAGATGCTTATGGGGCAAACAACTGGGTCCATTAAACGACTTAGAGATCTTAGTTGGTTGCCTGAAATATAAGCTCTTGAGTGAGTTCTGTGTTGGATTTGACTGCCATCAATATCAGCACTGGCCACTTAACAAATAATTTACTTTATTGACTATGATGTTTACCAGCGAGTCAGGCCAGTGAATATCCCTCATCCTGTCTTTATCACCACTGTAATATCTTAACCATGTCCTACTCTTATCATTAACCAAGTAATACTAACAAGGACAATGTTCGTGGTTAGCTTTTTTTTATTTCATAGATATAACAGTTCTGGCCACGATAGGTGTTAACAAAAGCTCCATAAATAATAGGAACTTTAATAATATATTCCTTTTCTCGATATGTTTCTGTGAATTCTTTTTACACGGTGTCCCTGCTATCATATTGTTATTGCCGAGTTAAATCTTTACTCGCCTATTGTAGTTGTGTCATCTTTATGTGCTTAGAATGGCACCGCCAGACTTACGACGCTCTCTCTCTCCTTGCGTTTTATATATCCCGTAATGGATATTAAGCTGCGACTTAAAGGTTTGTTTAGAAAGATATGGTGATGTTTGTTTTGGTGTTCTATATGAGTTTAGTGCTTCGCTTCGTGATGGTACAGTGGTCTCTCAGTGAATGGTGTGTGGTATTTGTTATGTTTGTTGTACTAAGTGTAATATATCAAGAGGCATAGGGAGAAACAGACAGAGAAAGACTAAAACAGGCAGAAAGAGACGCCACAGATAAAATAAAATGAATACTCGATACAGACAAACGGAAAGATCACAGGGAAAAGTGTTTATCTTTCTTAAACAAAAATATATATATTATAAACGTCTTTCCTGCCCGTACTCCGAAGACCTTCTGCCTGAAAATATTTAGGTATCCAATTCAGTAGGAACTTGGTGTGAGAGTCTGGAATTGTAGTGTTGGCAGCAGCATGGACCGGGACATGTTCATTTGAGCTACACAAGGAAGTGTACCCATGACACCTGCCTCCATAGTGTTAGGGGACAGCTGTGGGGGACGTCTTCACTTTAGGATTACAGAATAACGACTACAGTTAGGTATCAAGCTGAAGCGGATATGACGGGTTCTGGTTAAGTTAGGTTAAGTTAGGTTAGGTTAGGGTGAAATAAGTTAGGGGTAACAATCTTCAGGGATCCAAAATTTATACCAAATCTTTATATAACATGTAAACACCACCTCCACTGGGCTATGTCTCACTATACCTCGCCGAGAGAGGGAAATTGATCATGTTACAATACCTCACACAAGTACAACGAGACATGAAGATTTCCTCATTACTCCCCATCCACAGAATTGTTTTTTTCTTCAGTAATAAATTAAAACCTTCAACATGTCAGTAATAGTCGTGGTTCGTGTTTAGCTTTACAGGGATGAACGGAAATTAAAGTGATGCCACAAACCTTCCCGAAAAAAACCCACAAAGACAAATGAATATTCCTTTTGTATTAACGCGAAGAAATTGGGTCGTGTGTATATTTAGTTAAACTGAGTGAGGCTTATACAGGGACATTTAGTTTTGACTTTGATGTGAGAATTGGGTGTGTGTGTGTGCGTGTGCGTGTGTGTGTGTGTGTGTGCGTGTGCGTGTGCGTGTGCGTGTGCGTGTGTGTGTACGTACAATAATACATGTGAGGGTGCTTCTCTGTGTTATCTACAACTGTAAACTACGACACAATTGATGGTGATTAATGCGAGGTTACAGTACACGTCCTTTACACTGAGTAAATACATCGGTTCTTAACTTTATTGTGCCTGCAGTATACCACCCGAGGCGTCGTTAGGTAGTTGGAAGTTAACAGTTGGTTTACTTAGGAGGGTTAATATATACTAATGCTGATGACTTGTTGTTGGCAGTGTCTGTCTTTCTGTCTGTCTCTTTATAACATAGCTGGGTGTCTATTGGTTGTCTGTCTGTGTCTGTCTGTGTCTGTCTGTCTGTCTGTCTGTCTCTTAGTAACAAAGCTGGCAACACACTATAAAAGTCCTATGCAATTTGAAACATTGTATTCAGTGGGCAATATCATATTCAGTTTAGTTATAATCTTCAATAATAGCAAGAGAATTGTATAGTCTTTTCCCTCGTGAAGTGGGTCTGCAGAAAACATATATTCTTGTTTTTACCTTTTTCCTTCCCGCAATTGTCAGTAACATAGATGAAACAAAATGGTGAAGAAACACAATAGAACTTGGAAACTTGGGTTATTGGAAGGAATAAGAAAACTTTAAGTTGAGTCAGATTGCTTAAAGTATAGTTTGTGTGGCAGTCATTTCACATAAGGAAGTATTTGGGTGGGAGTCCGATTGCTTGGCGGAGTTGGAATAAACGTCGGAAAGGCTTTAATAATTGTGGAGAGTGGCAGATAGTCTGATTGAGTACCAGATGGTTCATTAGTACTTTGGGTGAGTGCTATTATAGTGAGGTACTGTATATTATGAGTGGGTACCAAATAGTCAGTCAGTCAGTCAACGTTATTTATTACTGGACATGAAAAAGCTTACGAAAATAATGAACGTTCAACAACATTACCAACACATTGCTAAATCGTACATCAGAATATCACAAAAATTAAAATAATTCCCCCTTAAAAAAAAGTAAACCATTACCAAAGCAGGATTGAACATATTTTTATTTTATTTGTTTATTTTTTATTTTAATTTTGTTGCCGTCATCTTTACGTCAACACAGCGATCTCATCCAGCAGAGTACGACAAGTCCCCCCCCCACCCCTCTCACCTGACCACCCCCACCCACACCCCTCTCACCTGACCCCCTCACCCACACCCCTCTCACCTGACCCCCCCACCAACCCCTCCATTTCGGAAGCTTGCACATGTAGATGAAATTTTCTCTGGGTAAAAGCTTTTAAAGAAAGTTTAGCGTAGTAGGTCGGTGGGCAAGAAGACCTGGACGTGCTTCGTGTATTTGTAGGAGGAAAGTGATAGCGTCAACAGATTTAACTTGTTGGAGCTGCTGACCAAATAGGGAGGTTGTGAGGCGTTGTTGAGGGAGGTAAAACTGTTGTGAGGTGTTGGGTGTTGGGTAGTGTTGAGTAGTGTTGGGTAGTGTTG